TCCCCATGCACTGCTTATAGGGACACCACTACCACCTCCCTCCTCCCAAATTTCCCTGCACCCCACAAAGCCAACTCTCCTTCCCTCCCCGTGCACATGGGGACAGCCCTGGTCACACACACACACACACACACATGCATGTGCACACATGCACACCCACATACTTCCACATGGGAGGGCGTTCCAAGCAGAGCATACTCCTCTAAGGAGCACAGGGGAGGGCACGGGGGTCAGGGTATCGACAGGGCAGGGGCCTGGTGCTGTGGGGCCCCTGTCACACTGTGCCCTCTGCCCCCAGCCCCGGGGCCACTGTCCCTCCAACAACCCTGGAGCACCTGGAGCTCGTTAGGGGCGGCTCCAGGGGGATGATAATGGGGATCATTATCACCGCTAACGGGCAGCAGGGCTGAGCACATCCAGGTGCCACCCACGGGTTGTCCCCAGCACCCACCTCAGCCCGGGTGATATCATCCCAGAGCACCAGACATCACCATCTCCTTTGCCAGTGATGCCACCGGGCACCTGAAGTGGGGTGACGGGGGCTGTGGGTGGAGGAAGAGGGGATGGTCAATCCCGTGAGTCCCCTAGCTGGGTGATGGCCACCTCTGGCGAGGAGGCTTTGAAGAGCTGCAGGTGTGGGTCTGGCTTCAGGAGCCCACAGCCTCCCTGGTACCCTGAGCCCCACGGTGTCCCTGTGTCCCCAGCTGCTGGTGTCAGTGTAAGGATGTATGCAGTGTGAGGATGCATATTCAGTTTCATTTTATTTCTCCTCTCTGTTGCACTAAAATCATGCAAGGACGCTGCAAAAACCAGAAAGGGAAAAGCATAGAGACACAAACCTGGCCAATTAGCCTTGATGAAGAGAACCCGGTCAGCTGTGTTAATTAACAGGGACACGTGGGAATGAGAACATGTTCATTGCAGCATGGTTAGTGGGAATGGGAACATGTTCATTGCAGCATGGTTAGCTGATGGAGGACTTCCAGAGCTGAGGTGATGAGAAAAGGGAGGCCAAGAGAAACAAAGCCCAAGTCACAGCCCTGACGAAAGGGACACAAAGGTGACAAGACTGAGCCCCTGGCAGCCGCTTAGGTTGGGTGACCATTGGGGGATTAGAGGCATTTCTCCCAGGAAGGGCAACTTGACCTTGGAAAGGAGGGGACCATCCTGGATGTGGGATGGGAGCAAGTGAGCGTTTGGGGGGTGTCTTTCACCTCTAGACATGGTGGGGAGCGAGGGGCTCCATGGCTGGAGTGGGACCACAGATCACACAGCCTGTGTGCCTGGTGCCAACTGCTGGGGGGGTGTGAGTGGCTATATGCCCCTCCCAAACCAGCTGCACATGGGGTGTGCAGCACCCAGCAAACTTTGAGGTGGCCCAGTTAGGGAGCAGAGGGGGACCTTGGGTCCGGGATGGGGTATCAGGCAGGTCAGGGTCCATGTTGGGATGTTCTGAACATCCCTCAACAGCCAGGAGTATTGTCCTCCACACTGGTACTCTCCTGCTGCTGCTTTGTTCTGCTTCTCCTCCTTCTCCATCTCTTTCTTCCCCCCTGCATTGGGAGCAGCTCAGTGCCTCTTCCCTGCCTCATGCTGTCCCTTGTCACCCTCCATGGCACAGGACCAGAGGAGCCCTGGGCTTCTCTGCAGGCAGCTGAACTGGAAGGCCTTGGTGGTGCAGGAACAGGTCACACTAGGGCTGGAGCCCGTTGTTCCCCTTGGGGATTGTCTCTAGCTCACAGCTGGCTCCTGGGGACGGGGCTGGAGCCTGTGGATGCTGCGGGCAAGGACAGCCCTGCATCACCAGCTTGTGGGGCCCTTGTTCACAGCAGTCACTTTTTTTGGCCAGTTGACCTTGAAAACCAAAGCAAAACATCATCATCATCAACAACAACAAAAGGACTCGAGCAAACTCAGTTTTCCACTGGATCTGTGATCTGAGCTGACCTGTGGTCCCCCGGCCCTGGGGAGGGCTGGGTGGGGAAATGGCATCCTGCCGTGCTGACGTGCTCCTTGGCATCAGGTTGTGGTCATCGGCTGAGTCCCATAAGGCAGCTCCTCCAGCTGTGACCTCACCCAGCAAAGAGTAGGAGGGAAAAAAGTCACCAAAAAAGCTGACTTTTCACACAGTTCCCACTCGCCTGCTCCTTTGGGGTCCCCAAAGGCAGGCGGGAGGTCAGACGCAGACACTGGCAGCTGGAGGGTTAAACAGGGCTTTGAGCATTTCCCTGCCAAGAGCCTACAGCTGGATTTGGAGCCTGCCCGGAGCAGAAGGAAACCCAGGGAGCTGGCAGCACTGGGGGGGCTTCTCCTCCCATAAACACAGCGGGGAGGGCAGCCGATGCTGTCAAAAAGCACTTAGAAATCTTG